CCTGAATCAACGGATGGCGCGGATAAGACCGAGCTCATTAATTTCGGCCGAGAACATTCCACCTCTCTCTCTCGCGTCCGCGTTCCATCCGTTCCATCGATCGCCAATTGAAAAACAGCATTCGATAACGAGAGACGATAGATAATCCGGTTATTACAACAAAAGCCTCGTAATGATTCGTTTCATTTGTCGACAGTCGCATCAACGATGATCCGTTAATGCTCCGGCGAGTGGCATTTGTGAATTTTCTATTTGTTATTACGCGCAGATCCTCCCCCTCATTGTGTCATTAATATTTCGTTATTAATTACATGAGCTCACGTATAATTGGCACCGCGCGGCATTAATTAACCCCGTCGAACATCCTACGCGTTTCGTGTTTCTTGCGCGGGGAAATCTGATTAGTCTGTGATATCGCGCGCGCGAGCGCACGGATCGCGCTTATTATTTTCGATACCGATTTCCGGCCGAACGGGGATGAAAAATCATCGGACCGGAGCCGAAACGGACGTACGGCTTGGAACCAATTAAAAGTTCGCGGCGTCGGCAGCCAATTACGTACATTGGCGTGGAACGGCCGTAACTTTCAAAGTTGAGTGGTCGCCCGGGCGTATCTTCTCATCCGCGAATTCATTCGCGGAATGTTACGACCGGCATCGCTAATGTTGCGAGAGAGATCATTTGGTCGCTTTTTTATCGCGACCGATAGAAAAAAAAAAAAATTTATTTTTCAATTTTATTTTTCTCTAACGAGCTTTCCCCTCTCGACGAAATTATAACCGGTTGAGCATCGTCGTGCACAAAACTTGCGCTGCGAGAAAATCAAGTTACAAACTTTTCTAAATAACTCGATTTTAAACAGCTCTCGAAAGTGATACCAGATTCCACGTTGTGCTCGTCGTGTGCTTCCGTATATATATACACGGGGGTAGATAAAAATCTCGTGACACGCGGGGCTTACACGGTGTGAGAAAATTGCACGGCACTTAAGGGATTATCCCCGTCAGTCGCGTGCGAGAATACGAGTGACTCGGATTATCGGGAAATCGCATCGCGGAGAGACAGAGAGAGAGGGGGGGAGGGGGAGGAGAGAGAGAGAGAGAGAAAGAGAGAGAGAGAGAGAGAAAGAGAGAGAGAGAGAGAGAAAGAGAGAGAGAGAGAGAGAAGTGCTGCTGTCATAAAATAAGCGTCAGCGGATTGAATACAAACGAGAGATTTGTATATAACGATGTTATGTGTAAGCGCAGCAGCGTGCTTACGCCTTTGGCCGCGCGCGAACACCGCAATATGGGCTCCTCGCAAATTTGACACGCTCACACCTTGTGACTCGCGGGGATTTTGGTTGTTACGCTAGTCGGCGTTTCACGCTTCGTCTCATTTTCCAAACTCACTCTCTCTCGCTTTCTCGTCGTCAGATTGTATAAGCGTCGCGCGTATATATATAAGCGCGAACCGATGGTACGAAGTTACGGACGATTCACACGATCCGAGGGAAAGGGGAAAGGGGAGGCGGCTTGATGATAACGCGCGATGGGCACACGGCTGAACAGCCGGCTCGAACACGACGCCGCGATTGCTGAATTACGATAATTCGCGAAAATCAGAAGTCAGTCGGAAACTAAATTCTCCCGCGGGTATTATTGTACGCATAAATGGAGAACAAAAAGAGAAATTACAAGAGCTACGAGATGCAATAAATTAATGATAATCGTCTTTGCGTTCAAGCGTTGATCGTGACGATGAAATAACGGAGAGAAAGAGAGAGAAATTCTTACACCGTTGTTTTCGAACTTGCGCGATTTCAGTCAGCCAACCGATTAATTTTGCCGCACCAAGTTTACGTAATAAGAAAACGCGTCCCCGGACGACGACAACGCGACGCATTTCGCAAAAAAAAAAAAAAACGCGCGACGAGAGGTTTCGCCGTTTGAAAAAGCCGGCAGAGAGGAAAGAATTGTCGGGTCTCCGTGTCCAACATTCTTTCGTTCGTTCATTTATCACGCGGCACGACGACATAATAGACGATCGCGAGCCACCGCGGCGGACTCGACGACGACGGTGTTTTCCATTGCCCGCTCTTGATATCCGGTCCTCTTCGTCACCTCGAATTTAAACGTAAAGTTTTACGTTCCACTCTCCTCAATACGACCAACTCGGACAATATTGATTCTTCGGCTCTTACGGCGCTTGCGAGCGCCGTTAACGACGTCGTCTTGCGAACCGTAAAAGTCGACGCTCCGCCGCGTTAAAATGTCGGTCGAATTTGAAATTATAACATTACGTATTCTCTGAGAAATTCTCTGTCTCTCTCTCTTTCTCTCTCTTTGCTTAATCTATATAAGCATCCCAGTTAGTCAAGATTCCGCCAATATATCTTCCCATAATTTATTTCGGTCTTCCGGCTAATGAATACGACTTGAGTTACTCGAGGCACTTAAACTTTAATCGCCGTGGAAAATCCAGCAGTAAAAGGGATATAACGAGGAAGTTATTTTTCCGACGCCGTGCTCAACAAGTTATTCACCGGTAAATTCACGCCGATTATAGTTGGTGCTAATTTCATATATATGTAACGATATCAATTCGTGAAAATCTGTATAACCGTAAAAAGGCGTGATGCAATCTCACATTGATATGCACGCTTACCCTCATCCTCCCGCGCCATTACGGGCATCCCACCTCGGCCTCGGGGGGAGTTCCGATTAATTGGAACACATTGTACCTGGGAATCGCAGGTGTAATGAAAGATAATCGTTCCACCGTCTGCTCGGACTTCCGTCGAAGTTACATTACCGTCGACACGAAACGCTCCGATTTCCCTATTAAAAGTATCGCAATCGAGCGGGGGAAATAGGCGCCGTGTCGGTCGTAACGGCAAGATGGATGCGCATTTCGGCCGAACGAGGCGGATTTAATGTGCTCACGGCGCGATTCCGGGATTGGATCGATCTCCCTCCGCGCGCCTCCGTCGCTCACATAATACGCGGGAGAACGACGAAAAACCGGCGGCATCGCGACAGGCTGTCAATCGATTTCAGATCTTGCCGACTGATTGTTCATTCGGTCGCGTAACTCTTTCCGCCGGTTCCATAATAAAAAAAAAAACAAACAAAAAAATGCATGTGCGTGTGCCGCAGCGCACGCATGAATATTCGACGGTGCGTTGTCTCTTGGCGTGAAAATAAATCGATTTCGATCGCGATGAATTTTGTGACGGGCGGTTNTTTTTTTTTTTTTTTTTTTTTTTTAAATTTTCACCTCTCTCTTTCTGTCTCATTTTTATTTTTATTTTTTTTTATCAGAATATTACGACCTCACGTCTTTGATTGCGCGTTATATTGAATATTTTTAATGCCGCCCGCGCGTGCGTGTGTATGTAATTATTTTCTCGATCATAAAATAAATTCCTAGTGCACGCGTGCACGAATATATACAGCGGATTGAGATTTATAAAATACGCCGCACTTTTTTTTTTTTTCCGTGCCGCGGTAAAACAATTTTCGATGAATATAACAAAACGCGTTAAATTCGCGCGAGCACATTTACGGTGACAGAATGCATTTCGGAATTTGATGAATTTGATGAATTTCGAGTTGCGGATGCAGGCGCAGCGGAGAGCACAGCTACACCGTGCTCCCGTCGGAACTAGACGCGGATGGCGCGAATACAAAACAGACGGAGAGAGTGCAGATATCGCATTTTTAGAACAGCCGAAGAAACGATCGCCGCTTTTATACGAGTCGTGAATATACCCTTTTCCGGCCATCACACGGGGGACACTCGATACGGCGAGTCGTAAGGACGGATGAGATTTCCCTAGTCCGGCGAAATCCCTTCACCTAGGTATAACGCGGAAGCTAGTTTTTTTTTCCATTCCCCATTTCCGTGCGCTTATTCGAGTTCTTATTCGCGCATTTCCGCGTTTATATATTTCAATTTCGATTTAACATTCTCGGAGATTGGCACTTGCGCGCGCGCGCGCGCGAAATCCTTCGATATCATCGCGAATCTCGACGATATCACTGATTATCCGTGCGCGATGTTTACCTTCCAATTACTCGACTGCAAGAATAACACGGGAACTTCGTGAAGATATAACGTTCTATTTTACTCGCGTTGCGCTGTATGTACATACGTGACAGCTAAATTTCCCGCGATTACGACCGCCATTTTGAGCGTTGTTAAACAAATGATGGATCGTTTGATTCATCGCGCAAGTTTCGACGTTGTAACAGCGTCGTTCGGAGAAGAAACGATCGCCGTGTATACGATTCGCCGTGCTGTAACGAATTGGCAGATCCGCAATTACCAATCCGCGTCAGTTTCCGTCGTGCGGATTTTTTCGCGAGGCGGATTGCAACGACGTCAACCTGGCAGCGCCTCAAGCATTGCAGGAATTTCGCCCCAGTAATTTTAGTGTTGACTCCGACGTGCAGCTTTATGGACGATATACGCGTCACGAATCGCATTCGACGTGCATCGGGCCTGTCGAGGGAGATCCGAAGTTGTGAAATTTATCTTTCGGACACTCTCCTGGCCCGGTGGACTGACACATCGAGTTCGAGTTACGTCAAGACACCAAGTCCTCTAGGCGCAGCGTTCTATATTTGTCACATCCACGTATTGCGGTTAATTATCTGAACCCCCTCCGGAGAGAGATTCGATATAACTATATGTTTCGCGCGACGTGTTTACTCGTCGCGGTTCGCGGGATGCGTAATCACGAAAATTAATTGTCACTTTGCGGCGTCTATCTCGACACATTTCGCTGCGTACGACGCGATTCGCGAAATAGCTCGGGCGATTTGTTTTCTTCGAAAGCAAATTTTTGATCGTCAACGCGCGATGAGAGCCAGTTTATCTCGTCGCGGCGTTGCTATTTTTATCTCGCGAGTGCCTGTTTCCCCCGGTAATAATCTCGCCCCGGCGTGGCATTTGTTATTTTCTTCGGCTTTGTTGAGCTCGCAACACCAACGCGAGCGCGTTTTGTTTCCACTCACCTCAGTCTGCTGTGCTCCGTGTGCGGCGATTCCTCCGGCGATTTGTAACTGTTTCCGGTCTGCAACAAAGAATGAGACGCGTAATGAAGACCACCGATTCTCGCGTGTACCGTAACTAGAAGCGCGCCGGCTTTAGGAAGAGAGTAGAAAAAGATCCCCCCGGCCGCGCGCGCAACTTTATTCCCTTTCAACAACAATCATAGACTGGAAGTGCAAAACCGTGTAAGCGCAATAACAGTTTATTTAAACGGGACGTAAGAACAACACTCCGTGAATTCCACGGAAAAATATGTTACAAACACGCAAAAGAAAAAGAGCAAAAAAAAAAAAAACAATTTAGAGATATAATAAAAAACAATCCATTCTCTGTGCAAAAACTTTTCCAACAATCGTAACAATCGCGCGCGCGCGCGAGCGAGCGAGGAACGATACATTGTCATTAAATTGATTGAACCACGCGCCTGTTGCCTCCAAAGGCAAACTCTTTTTCTTTTTTCTCAAAAGCAATCAACCACTTCAGACTCGGCTTTCCGCCCAGATAAGCAGCGATACTCAAGAGATTAAACCGATCAACCCGAGCCGATCGCCGTGCTGACATCACTGAATCCACCCCTTTGCTCGAGTGGCGTCTCGTCTCTGCGTTCGGCAACGCAGCGCCGTAAACGCGCTTAATTTCGTCGGAATGACGACACTCGAGAGACTGCGAAAGATGCCACCGTCGCTATGACAGTTCGCGAAATAACGTTTCTCCGAAACGAAAACTCGCTCCTGTCCCCGTGGAACACATGCGCGTCGGCCGTTAATAAATCGGCCGTGGAAAAACAACGCTCGGTTACGACAGCGACATCGGCGCCGCGAATTAGTTCGCGAGCAACATATTGCGCGCGAGTGAAAAAGAGATAGGGAGAGAGAGAAAGAGAGCGTGCAACAAACAAATGGAATTTCAAGGGATTTTGCGGAAAACGCATCGCGCGGTGACGTAATTAGAATTTATGTCGATTAGAGCCCCAGACCAAGAAGAAAGAAAAAAGACATCGATACGAGAGCCGAAGAGGCCGCAGGGGAGACCGGCGGTGGGCACTATATTTTCATCGAGCAGCGCGCGTCATAAATTCCTTCATTACGCGCCGGCGATTCGCGGATATACCCCCTCGGGCCATCGTTCGCCGCCCGGAAAGCAAACATTAAAGTGCGGGGGCGGCTGCGCGCGCTATCGGCGATGCAATTATTCCTCAGATGGAGCGCGCGGAACGTCCGCGCGCCGTCGATTTTGCTGTCGGCGCGCGATGCGATAAGTATCGGGGCGGAAACGATCGGTTATTATCGACGATCGCGATTTTCTTCCGTCACGGATATGAAAATAGCCTGATAAATAGCTGATTTTCTCCTTCTCTCTCTCTTTCTCTCTCTCTCTCTCCTTCTTTCTCTCTCGTAATTTTCCCCTCATTGGAGTGACCGTTAGTCACAGCGGGAAATGTTATTCTCGCGTAAATTGTAAACGCGGTTACACCGCGACAATCGAATTACCAGTTATGGAAATTCGCGCGTTTGGAAACAATGGCCATTATAAATACCGAGCGGTCGCGCGGCGCGCGCAATAGAACCGCGCGTATCGTAGATGATCATGGCACGGACAATAATGATTATTTCATTTCAATCAACCTGCGGAAATTGAACAGTTCTGGGACACCCGGGAGAGTAGCCGTTCTTGCAGCCCGCTCGTTACCGCCCGTGCCCGGGATGAACGTACCCCGCGATTTAAAAGTACGTCTAATTATATATATGTATATATATATATATGCCGCCTATATATTGCAAGCGCTTGCAATCTATCCATTATAACGGGTTAACGAACTTGGAAAATCAATTCGATCGATCAGTTAAAGTAAATGATTGTCGAGAGAGAACACGTTTGACTGGCTCACGTCGATCTCTCTTCCCTCGTGGTGCTTCGATCGCGCCGATTATAACACCGCAATCGGCCGACCTTTGACATCTGTTGCGTGGCGATGTCACGACGTTACAAGATATTAATCAGCGGAACAATCGGATGTGAATACGTTGTAATCAGCCGCTGAATCTTTCAATCATCACATTTAGAAATTACTGTTTATCTCTCGCAAAGAGAGAGAGAGAGAGAGAGAGAGAGACAGGGATCAGAAAATTAATTAATCCTTTTTGTGTAAATAAACTTTAAAAATCCCGATTTTCAATGTAAACAAATTATCTTTCTGAATAATCGCGATCGCTCGAAGCATCAACGTTATAATGATCTTTAAACAATCCCTCCCCCCCCCCTCGGTCGTCGATCAATCGCCTGTCCGAGAATCATCGTCAGTCCGCGGATTAATCGCATCGTTTATCGGTTATCACTCGTTCGCGACTTACCCACCGCGCGCACATTTATCTCGTAATCCAGCCCCGAGTAGCGACCGTCTGCTCCTCGTAAGTCTCATCCCGTTCGTAATCTAAGATCAGCACTCAGTCACACCGTACTTTCTCTCTATCTCCTTCTTTTTTTTTCCTCTTCTCCGGAGCCTTTACTCTGATGCCGCGCAATCCGCACCGGAGTGAATTCTTCGTCCCATCCATCCGGGGACAGTCAATTTGTCCTTATTTTCTCTCGACTTTCACTCCGCTTCCGAGTTAAGTGTTTTTTTTCTTCCCTTCCCAACTACCCGAGCGTACGCGCGCGCATACATACACACACATACACAGGAAGAAGACACACACGCACAAACACTTCTCTCACTCGGAAAAGCCACCCCGTCGGCGAAAGACGCGACGCGACTTTCACTCGATTGTGCCTCGGCCAAGTTGTGCTTGGCCCGAACGAGTAGCTCTTGGCACGAGAATCACTATCATCCGTTCCCCTCCCGTCCGGCGAGGAAGCTTGAGATGAGAATGAAGAACAAGAAGAAGACGAGAACGAGTTGCCCCTTCTTCTTCGCTCGTTCCGTCTCTTTGCCCTTCTCGCCGTTTGTCGCTGTCTTCTCTTTTTCTCTTGCCCGTTAAAGAAAAACGGCAAGAGAACGAAGAACGGGAAGGAGGAAAACAACATCCACCGGGGTCTCTGTTGCCGTCGTACCGAAATACACCAAGTCCACCTCTATAAGTTCAGTCGGGCGACAGAGAGAGAGAGAGAGAGAGAGAGAGAGAGAAAGAGAGATAGACAGATAGATAAACAGATAAAGAAAGAGAGAGAGAGAGAGAGAGAAAAGACGCGCGGGGCGAGGTGAGGACGAGAATGACGACGACGACGACGACGACTCCGGGTTAAAGTGGCGTCGCGTGTACAACCGCACCAGCAGCGGAATATACGACACCGCACAGAGCGGAGGACCGCTCGGTCTTTCCTCGCGCGGGAAACTGCCTCCGCCCGCGTGTCTTCCGCTCTGTCCTTTCTCACCTACGGTCCCGTAGCTGCGCGAAGCTTCGCTATTTTTCCCCGAGTTTCGAGGAATTACGTTCTCTTGCCTTTCTATCTTTCGCTCTTCTCGTCTCTCTCTCTCTCTCTCTCTCTCTCTCTCTCTCATGGCTCATCTCCTTTGTTTCCGTCGAGCACAGCGGATTCATCCGCAATTATACACAGACAGATATATATATATGTATATATATATATATATAGCGCACGTCAAGCGCGCCAAAAGAGAGCATCGAGTCGCTTTTTCCGTCTGCTTTAAAAGAGATTTCGTTATGATGTGGAAAAAGTAACACCGCCAGTCTTGTTACAAACTTTCGTGACGCATGTACGAGCAAATTATAAAAAAACTTTGTACGCGCATATCTTTGAAACGTTCTTGCGTACAAACAATTTAAAAGAGTTTTGTCGAATTTACGGGATGCGCTGACACAAAGTACGACGAATGAAAATTATACAGTTTTTGCGTCATTTAGTGTCAGTTACAAAGTGTCAGCGCGAGCGGATAACTTGAGCGCGACACGTTCGCTTCGCGAGCCAATAAACGTGGTTCTCGTTTTGAGGCGCCGTTCAGAGTCAGAAACTGCTTTATAAATTTTCTCTATCGTTCGATTAATCGAAACATCGATAAGAATCGTGTTTGAAGAATTCCGTGTTCGCGCAAATATTTCAAGTTGCGCCGAAAATCGGTAACAAATAAAATCGTATCACAATAACAGCGAGAAAAACAATTTTTTCAAATATATATATATATATATTAATTGTATTAGTTCTCTCGCTGCAAAACTCTGCTTTCAGCCAGAAAGAATCAGAATGTTATTAAAATCGCATCAAAGTTATTTCGAAATTATTCGAAATTATTACCTTAACAAGCTCGTACGCATAATTTTCCTCTCGCTAGAAGCAATGTTGTTTGGTTCATATGCACTCGTGAGAGATTTTTTTTTTAACACGGTACACGATATTCAAAGTATTAGCGCACGGAATATGAAGTTCATTATCAACTATGCAAACACGCGACGGATAGAAAATTCTGCGGCGGAAAATCAACAGCACGTAGCTCCGTCGTATTTAACGCGCGTCTGAGGAGAAATTCCGACGAGAGAGAGAAAGAGAGAGAGAGAGAGAGAGAGATAAAGAGAGGAAGAGCGAGTTGGCGCGGTGAGCATCGCGAATAAATATTTGTGTAATGTTGTACGTGCCAGGTGGATTTTCGGAGGCAAAGCGCGAACGAGCGAGTCCTGTCGACTCGCCTGTTAGCTACGAGTTGTGTATCCGGGAAACCTGCGCGTGCTACACACACACACACACACATACACACATACAGAGAGAGAGAGAGAGAGGGAGAGAGAGAGAAGAGAAATAGATACGCGGTTGTAAGCGCGGACTTAGGATCGATGCGGAATCAGCCTAATCGCCCGGAAGTGTTGCCAATGTCCACCGCTAATCCGATCGCAGATGTTTCGCTGCGACCGGTTCTCTCTCCCGGCCGCCGCCGGCTCGTTTCCCGTCTCTCCGCTCTCTTCGCCGACCCGTTCTCGCTCGACGATGTTTGTTTGCGGCCGCGTTAGCGGATTCTAATCGCGGTTACTCCGTTCGCGCCCTAAATCTGCCACCGCCACCAAACCGAGTACTTAA